AAAAGAGTGTAAAAATTATAGGGGAATAAGTCTGTTGAGTATACCTGGTAAAGTGTATGGTAGAGTTATTATTGATAGAATTATGAGTAAGACGGAGAGCAGGATAGCAGATGAACAAGGAGGCTTTAGGAAAGGTGGGGGGGGGGTGTAGACCAAGTGTTTGCAGTGAAACACATGGGTAAACAGTATTTGGATAAGGGTAAAAAGATTTTTGTAGCATTTATGGATTTGGAAAAGGCATATGATAGGGTGGATAGGGGGGCAATGTGGCAGATGTTGCAAATGTATGGCATAGGAGGTAGGTTATTGAAGGCAGTGAAAAGTTTTTATGAGGATAGTGAGGCTCAGGTTGGAGTATGTAGGGGAGAGGGGGATTATTTCCCATTAAAAGTAGGCCTTAGGCAGGGATGTGTGATGTCATCATGGTTGTTCAATACATTTATATGTGGAGTAGTAAGAGAAGTGAATGCTCGGCTGTTGGCAGGTGGTATGCGGTTAAAAGATAAAAAAATCTAACACAAAGTGGGAGTTGTCACAGTTGCTCTTTGCTGATGACACTGTTTTGGGAGATTTTGAAGAGAAGTTGCAGAGGTTGGTTGATGAGTTTGGTAGGGTATGTAAAACAAGGAAATTAAAAGCAAACATAGGAAAGAGTCAAGTGATAAAAAAAATTAGGCAATGGAAGATTGGATATCAGATTGGAGGGAGAGAGTATGGAGGAGGTGAATGTGTTCAGATATCTGGGAGTGGATGTGTCAGCAGATGGGTCTATGAAGGACGAGGTGAATCATAGAATTGACAAGGGGTAAAAGGTGAGTGGTGCACTGAGGAGTTTGTTGAGACGAAACTTTATCCATGAAAGCAAAGAGGGGAATGTATGAGAGTATAGTTATACCAATGCTCTTGTATGGGTGTAAGGCATGGGTGGTGAATGTTGCAACAAGGAGAAGGCTGGAGGCAGTGGAGATGTCATATCTGAGGGCAATGTGTGGTGTGAATATAATGCAGAGAATCTGTAGTTTGGAGATTAGGAGGAGGAGGAGCGGGATTACCAAAACTATTATCCAGAGGGCTGAGGAGGGGTTATTGAGGTGGTTTGGACATGTAGAGAGGATGGAATGAAATAGAATGACAGAGTATACAAATCTGTGGTGGAGGGAAGGGTGGGTAGGGGTTGGAGGTAGGGAGTAAAGGTTTTGTGTGTGAGGGACTTGTACTTTCAGCAAGAGTGCATGAGTGTGTTAGACAGGAGCGAATGGAGGCAAATGGTTTTTAGGACTGTGTGTTGTTGGAGTGTAGGCAAGGTAACATTTATGAAGGGATTCAGGGAAACCGGCAGGCCGGACTGGAGTCCTGGAGATGGGAAGTACAGTGTCTGCACTCTGAAGGAGGGGTGTTAATGTTGCAGTTTAATAACTGTAGTGTAGACATGCCTCTGGCAAGACAGTGATAGAGTGAGTGATGAAAGTTTCTTTTTCGGGCCACCCTGCCTTGGTGGGAAACGGCCGATGTGTTAATAATAAAAAAAAAGGGGCATGAGGATCATATCCAAGATGTTTCCTGAAGATTACCTAAAAAATAAAAATTGTTTTCATTATGACAACACTAATGACAGATTTATGCAAAACTGATAATACCAAAAGTGTTTTAGGTGACTGTACAGGATCATTATTATTGCAATCAAAGCTAAGTGCTAAACTCAAAAGGGTTATTACAGTGTGCAGGATCAAGTGAAGCCCAACTGATGTTCTTGCAAAAGCAAAAGTAGGATATTACATTTTCGTCCCCCCCCCCCCCCTTTTTTTTTTTTGGCCTTTGCATTCAATTTCGCTTCACTTGATCCTGTACAGTTTTCAATACAAAAATAAAATGATTCTGACTGTTACCCAAGTTGCTAGTGTCACCCAACCCACCATCCTGAAAGATTTACAGAGCGAGACATTTCCTAAATAAAAAGCTTGTTTTGTAATTTGTCTCTTTTCTTCTTTGTTGTTGGCAGTTTGCCTTTTGTATTTTCCAGTATAATATAATTATTTTTCCTTTAAATAATTTTGCCAATTTTGTTCAAAATTCCTCACCACACAAATTATATTGTACAGGGACATAGCTAAAACTAAGTATGTCGTAGTAATATTTCATTGCACTTTATAAAAAAAAAAATCTTGGATATAAATTTTAAAATTATTTGAGTACAAGACTACTACCCACTGTCCCATCCTTGCAGAGTGAACACAAGAAGCACAACTACGGGCATCACATTGTACAGTGGAACTTCGGTTTTCATCTTTAATTCCTTCCAGATAGTCTGACGAAAACTGAAGCAATATTTCCCATAATAAATAATGTAAATCCTGTAATGTCAGCGTGTCTCAGGTAAGATGGTGATGGTGAAGGTCACCCTATCTTGATGAGAGATGGCCAATGTGTTAAAGAAAAATGGCCAATGAAGAGGTGTGATGAAATCTAAATGACCCTTTGGTATGTCAAGGTTGCACATGAAAATACAGTGCACATTCATAATTCAAGCAGGTTATGTTCCTAAAGACTGCGCTACCAATGATCTCGACTTATGGAATGAAAAGTACACCTACCATCCGACTTATGACCGAGTTCGGTTCCGAGAAACTGGTCGTAAGTCGAACTTTACTACTGAATATCAACAAAACATTTTTGTAATGACTTTATTGTTTTATTTTGGTATTTCATGTTTTACTTTACTTTTTATGTTGTTAGTACTGTATTTTATACTGTAAGGTTTAGGATAAACACTGTGTACAACACAAATAGTTGTTTATTTCCCAGAAATTTGGCATAAAAAACACGGTCGTAAGTCGAGCAGGTCGTAAGTCGGATGGTAGGTGTATATGGAAAATGTAGGGTTACGTTCCTCACACCTCCAGAATACGAGATTTTTTTTTTTTAAACTTCTTCAAAAATACCTTTTCCTAATGAATTTTGTTGATGAGCATGCTATATGAAATACCTGAAATTTAGTTAAGTTCACACTGTGAAAAGGAAGAGTACATGTAGCTATAAAATGGTCATATTAATACTGTACAGTATTTATTGCCTTTAAGTCTGGTTGGTGATGCTTAATTAACATCCTGGAGTGGAGAAGATAGCTCTGACTCTACTGGGTCCAGGTTGTTGGTTGGAGTTGATGTGGTGGTGAAGGTTGGAGAGCCTGGGATGTTGATGCAGCTTTATCAGTCGATTGTTGCAGCAGAATGCTCAGATATTCTGTTATATTCCACCATTTGTTTTACCATGCATACCTCTGGGCATTTTAAATCAGATAAACCACCGAGAATGGGCTGTCCTCCCTCCTCACACACATTTAATAAACTTTCCATTTCATTTAGCTGTAATGACCCATTCTTCATTCTTTCTGCTCTGTCACACTGAGGATTACTCGTTTATCTTAGTCTCATTGTCTCAGATTTAATGAATCGTTGATTCTCTAACACCAAACATTTGTGCCATCTCCACGACATGTGCACCAACCTTCAACATGTTAATTACCTCTTATTTTTTATTTTTTAAATAGGCATAGTTTCAAACTTAATTTTTTCTTGTTTTTATCAACATCACCTGCACTTTGTTTGGATACCATGATAAATATCCAGAGATGGGATGGGGTGATGAAAAGAAGTAAAACCTGAGCAATGATATACAATGACTCGTGTGGGACTGTTTACATCTATTTACGCTTCCTCATACCCTTCCCTACACCCTCCCTTGAACTGCTAAAGCAATGGAGTTACTATGCTTAAGTAACTCCTGCAGTGGTGCTTCTTGACTTAATTGTGAGACAAATGGAAATGAATTCAGCTCCAGCACACATTATGGAAATGGTGCCCTTCTCCTGGAAATGAAAACTTAAAATTTAAATTGCCCATTATTGAAAACATGAGCTGAGATCCTGTGACTTGGTTTTCTACTGGAACATACAATATATGACAAAACAGATTTTCTGTAAAGATTAGAGGTGCATATTGTCTAAGATAAAGGGTACATACTATTGAATATGATATACCTGACCTTTGATATATACCTTTGATGAGTTTCGAGAGTTTCTAATCGTGGAGCCCAGCCCTGAGCCAGGCTTGCCTGGTCAACCAGGCTGTTGCTGAAGGTACATGCAGTTGAAGATAAGTGTACATACTATCTATGGAGGCAAAGAAGGGAATGTATGAAAGTATAGTAGTACCAACACTCTTATATGGGTGTGAAACTTGGGTTGTGAATGCAGCAGCGAGGAGGCAGTGGAGATGTCCTGTTTAAGGGCAATGTGTGGTGTAAATATTATGCAGAAAATTCAGAGTGTGGAGTTAATAAAAGTATTAATCAGAGGGCTGAAGAGGGGTTGTTAAGGTGGTTTGGTCATTTAGAGAGAATGGATCAAAGTAGAATGACATGGAGAGCATTTAAATCTGTAGGGGAAGGAAAGTGGGGTAGGGGTCATACTCGAAAAGGTTGGAAGGAAGGGGTAAGGGAGGTTTTGTGGGCGAGGGGCTTGGACTTCCAGCAGGCGTGTACGAGCGTGTTCGATAGGAGTAATGGAGACGAATGGTATTTGGGGCCTGATGATCTGTTGGAGTGTGAGCAGGGTAATATTTAGTGAAGGGATTCAGGGAAGCCGGTTATTTTTATATAGCCGGGCTTGAGTCTTGGAAATGGGAGTACAATGCCTGCACTCTAAAGGAGGGGCTCGGGATATTAGCAGTTTGGAGGGATATGTTGTGTATCTTTATATGTATATGCTTCTAAACTGTTGTGTTCTGAGCACCTCTGCAAAAGCAGTGATTATGTACGAGTGAGGTGAAAGTATTTTCTTTTTGAGGATTTTCTTTCTTTTTGGGTCACCCTGCCTCGGTGGGAGACGGCTGACTTGTTAAAAAAAAAAAAAAAAAGCTATTGAAGATGAGGGTACATGCAGTTGAAGATGAAGATACATATGGTTTAAGTAAAAAAACAATGTTTTGTATGCCCAAACTTACCCTGAGGTCACTGTTGGCCTCCCTGAGGGCTGCAGTGAGAGACAAAAGGTAGTAGATGATAAGGACGAGCAGGAGGCCTGCTGGGATGACCACACCAGGAGAGGAGACGTAGTCAACCACGGGATACAGGGAGGTTGGCAGGCCTCCAATCAGCGTGGAGGTTGCAAGCTGATAAATCCTGGGATAGTCGCTGAAGGGTCCACAGTGCCACGAGGGCTCCAACCACACTACCGCATACCTGCCAGGCATACCAGCTGCTCAGTGCTCTTGTGCTTGATACTGTAGTATTAAAGTGCCTCGGTTACATTCTGATGGAAACAATCCCACCTGTGTTGGTGGCCTCATCATCCAAGGAGGTGGAGTTGCCTTTTCCTTTCATGGATTGCACCTTATTACCACCGATTACCCAGGCACTTCATGACTTACTAGCTAAGTGCTTCCACTGATATACTGTAATAACCACAACACTAATAATAAACAATAATGAACAATAATTAATGAAAGGGGGGTAAAGCAGCTAGAACTGATGGGATCATGACAGAAATGTTAAAAGCAGGGGGAGATATAGTGTTGGAGTGGTTGGTATTTTTGTTTAATAAATGTATGAAAGAGGGGAAGGTACTTGGAGTTTACCTGGAGAGAGTTCCGGGGTCAACGCTCCTGCGGCCCGGTCTGTGACCAGGCCTCCTGGTGGATCAGAGCCTGATCAACCAGGCTGTTGCTGCTGGCTGCACCCAAACCAATGTACGAGCCACAGCCCGGCTGGTCAAGAATCGACTTTAGGTGCTTGTCCAGTGCCAGCTTGAAGACTGCCAGGGGTCTGTTGGTAATCCCCCTTATGTATGCTGGGAGGCAGTTGAACAGTCTTGGGTCCCTGACACTTATTGTATGGTCTCTTAACGTGCTAGTGACACCCCTGCTTTTCATTGGGGGGATGTTGCATCGTCTGCCAAGTCTTTTGCTTTCGTAGTGAGTGATTTTCATGTGCAAGTTCGGTACTAGTCCCTCTAGGATTTTCCAGGTGTATATAATCATGTATCTCTCCCGCCTGTGTTCCAGGGAATACAGGTTTAGGAACCTCAAGCGCTCTCAGTAATTGAGGTGTTTTATCTCCGTTATGCGCGCCGTGAAGGTTCTCTGTACATTTTCTAGGTCAGCAATTTCACCTGCCTTGAAAGGTGCTGTTAGTGTGCAGCAATATTCCAGCCTAGATAGAACAAGTGACCTGAAGAATGTCATCATGGGCTTGGCCTCCCTAGTTTTGAAGGTTCTCATTATCCATCCTGTCATTTTTCTAGCAGATGCGATTGATACAATGTTATGGTCCTTGAAGGTGAGATCCTCCGACATGATCACTCCCAGGTCTTTGACGTTGGTGTTTCGCTCTATTTTGTGGCCAGAATTTATTTTGTACTCTGATGAAGATTTAATTTCCTCGTGTTTACCATATCTGAGTAATTGAAATTTCTCATCGTTGAACTTCATATTGTTTTCTGCAGCCCACTGAAAGATTTGGTTGATGTCCGCCTGGAGCCTTGCAGTGTCTGCAATGGAAGACACTGTCATGCAGATTCGGGTGTCATCTGCAAAGGAGGACACGGTGCTGTGGCTGACATCCTTGTCTATGTCAGATATGAGGATGAGGAACAAGATGGGAGTGAGTACTGTGCCTTGTGGAACAGAGCTTTTCACCGTAGCTGCCTCGGACTTTACTCTGTTGACGACTACTCTCTGTGTTCTGTTAGTGAGGAAATTATAGATCCATCGACCGACTTTTCCTGTTATTCCTTTAGCACGCATTTTGTGCGCTATTACGGCATGGTCACACTTGTCGAAGGCTTTTGCAAAGTCTGTATATATTACATATGCATTCTTTTTGTCTTCTAGTGCATTTAGGACCTTGTCGTAGTGGTCCAATAATTGAGACAGACAGGAGCGACCTGTTCTAAACCCATGTTGCCCTGGGTTGTGTAACTGATGGGTTTCTAGATAGATGGGTGGTGATCTTGCTTCTTAGGACCCTTTCAAAGATGTTTATGATATGGGATGTTAGTGCTATCGGTCTGTAGTTCTTTGCTGTTGCTTTACTGCCCCCTTTGTGGAGTGGGGCTATGTCTGTTGTTTTTAGTAACTGTGGGACGACCCCCGTGTCCATGCTCCCTCTCCATAGGATGGAAAAGGCTCATGATAGGGGCTTCTTGCAGTTCTTGATGAACATGGAGTTCCATGAGTCTGGCCCTGGGGCAGAGTGCATGGGCATGTCATTTATCGCCTGTTTGAAGTCATTTGGCGTCAGGATAACATCGGATTGGCAAAGAGCGTGTATAGTCCCTTTATATAAAGGGAAGGGGGACAAAAGAGATTGTAAAAATTATAGAGGAGTAACTTTACTGAGTATACCAGGAAAAGTGTATGGTAGGGTTATTATTGAAAGAATTAGAAGTAAAACAGAATGTGGAACTGCGGATGAGCAAGGAGGTTTTAGACTGGGTAGGGGATGTGTGGATCAAGTGTTTACATTGAAGCATATATGTGAACAGTATTTAGATAAAGGTAGGGAAGTTTTTATTGCATTTATGGATTTAGAAAAGGCATATGATAGAGTGGATAGGGGAGCAATGTGGCAGATGTTGCAAGTATATGGAATGGGTGGTAAGTTACTAAATGCTGTTAAGAGTTTTTATGAGGATAGTGAGGCTCAGGTTAGGGTGTGTAGAAGAGAGGGAGACTACTTCCTGGTAAAAGTAGGTCTTAGACAGGGATGTGTAATGTTACCATGGTTGTTTAATATATTTATAGATGGGGTCGTAAAAGAAGTAAATGGTAGGGTGTTCGGGAGAGGGGTGGGATTAAATTATGGGAATCAATTACAAAATGTGAAGTGACACAGTTACTTTTTGCTGATGATACTGTGCTCATGGGAGATTCTAAAGTAAAATTGCAAAGGTTAGTGGATGAGTTTGGGAATGTGTGTAAAGGTAGAAAGTTGAAAGTGAACATAGAAAAGAGTAAGGTGATGAGGGTATCAAATGATTTAGATAAAGAAAAATTGGATATCAAATTGGGGAGGAGTAGTATGGAAGAAGTGAATGTTTTCAGATATTTGGGAGTTGATGTGTCAGTGGATGGATTTATGAAAGATGAGGTTATCATAGAATTGATGAAGGAAAAAAGGTGAGTGGTGCATTGAGGTATATGTGGAGACAAAAAATGTTATCTATGGAGGCAAAGAAGGGAATGTATGAAAGTATAGTAGTACCAATACTCTTATATGGGTGTGAAGCTTGGGTTGTAAATGCTGCAGTGAGGAGGGGGTTGGAGGCAGTGGAGATGTCCTGTCTAAGGGGAATGTGTGGTGTAAATATTATGCAGAAAATTCGGAGTGTGGAAATTAGGAGAAGGTGTGGAGTTAATAAAAGTATTAGTCAGAGGGCTGAAGAGGGGTTGTTGAGGTGGTTTGGCCATTTAGAGAGAATGGATCAAAGTAGAATGATATGGAGAGTGTATAAATCTGTAGGGGAAGGAAGGCGGGGTAGGGGTCGTCCTCGAAAAGGTTGGAGGGAGGGGGTAAAGGAGGTTTTGTGGGTGAGGGGCTTGGACTTTCAGCAGGCGTGAGTGAGCATGTTAGATAGGAGTGAATGGAGACGAATGGTATTTGGGACCTGACGAGCTGTTGGAGTGCGAGCACAAAGGGATTCAGGGAAACTGGTTATTCTATATAGCCGGACTTGAGTCCTGGAAATGGGAAGTACAATGCCTGCACTTTAATGGAGGAGTTTGGGATATTGGCAGTTTGGAGGGATATGTTGTGTATCTTTATACGTATATACTTCTAAACTGTTGTATTCTGAGCACCTCTACAAAAACAGTGATAAATGTGAGGTGAAAGTGTTGAATGGTGATGAAAGTATTTTCTTTTTGAGGATTTTCTTTCTTTTTGGGTCACCCTGCCTCGGTGGGAGACGGCCGACTTGTTAAAAAAAAAAAATTAAAATTAAAATTGTTAATAATAATCATAACAATGACTTACCCTACAGGGAGCGTACAGAGGAAGAGCATGGTGAGAAGGAAGAGGAGGTAGAAGTTATTGTTGTTGGAAGCTTTGAAGACAGTCTCTGGTGGTACGTTGGAGGTGACCACTGCCCACGAGCGTACATACAACAGCACCACCAGCTTTAATGTGTTGAGTGCTGGAAGCCCCGGGGAGAAGAACATTCCCATCCTGGGAAAAGGTGCAAAGAAAGTTCTGAGACTAAGAAAATAATGTCACCTCTCCTCAAAACATGAGATAATGTAATCAATAATATTTTTATACAGGGTAGACAGGCGAGCCAGTTGAAGTCCTCTGTTCACTGGTCAACAACCAAAATGCTTCCAAGACCTGAGTAGCAATTTTCAACTAATTTTAAGTCACTGATAATGAATATCATGGTTGAAATTGTTAGCTCTACTTTTCAATATACATCTGCGTGTCACAACTGGTTCCAACAGGCTTGCGGCAGTGTGTTTCTTACCACACAGTCACTGCCCTTCATTATTGTTCGAGCAGTCATAGAAGGTGGTTATGCTGTGCAAGTTTATATTCTGAGGTGAAAGGTAGGCAATTTTCTTAGCCAAATACTTTTTAACTTATAATAAATCTTCACTGAGCCATGGACAAATCCAGTCAGGGATTCAAGTATTTAACATCAAAATTTCCCTCACCGAGTGATGCTAAGATAAGAGAGGGAGTCTTCATTGGTCCTCAGATTCGAGAGCTTCTTAAAGATGGTGACCTTGAATCAGACCTTTATGGGGAGGAGGAAGCTGCTTGGGAAGCATTCAAGTTAGCAGCGAAGGGATTTATTGGAAACAGAAAGAAAGGAAACTATGAATAATTGGTGGAAAACCTCATGAAAGCTTACAAGAGCATGGGATGTAACATGTCACTTAAAATCCACATTTTGGACTAACATTTAGACTTTTTTCCAGCGAACTGTGGGACAGTTAGTGACAAACATGGTGAAAGGTTTCACCAAGATATTTCAACCATGGAAAAATGGTACCAGGACAAATTGGGCACAAGAATGCTTGCAGACTATTGCTGGACATTGGCAAGAGATGATTCTTCAGCCCACTGTAAGCATCAAGCAAAAAGGCAGAGAGTAGGTATGGATTAGAGTTTAAAACATACTGACACACACTGTACATTATAAAATAATCAAATATTACATGTATCGTATTTTTAAACCTATAGCTAATAAGCATTTTTCAAGGTGATATTTGGATTCAGGACATAAAAATACATAAGAATTAACTAATCTCATTTAAGAAGCATACAACTTCTCCAAAATTGTTGACCAGTGTTAATTATATGACCAGATGACCCAATTAACAGTCATGTGATTAATAAACTGTCACCACAATCGCCTATTTTTTATATACAGTATCAAGTTGTGCTACTACTTAGTTTGATGCATGAAAGCTTTACTTTGAGTGAAAAATAAGTAAATAAAGGATTGCTATTAATACATAATATTAATATATAATAAGAAGATGAACACAAGGAAACATCATAAACTTATTATTTAAGTGGGGTCATACAGAGCTTGGAAAGTGAGAAGCAATCAGGTATGATCCAAGAAAGTGAAGGGTAGATTCAGTTCCCTGAATGACTAGCACCTCACCAGCCTCAAGGAACCTCCCTTCAGGGGGACCAAGAAATAGAGTGGCAGCAGGATGCATCCGAGGTACTGGTGTCAGCTAGGTCACTTGGCTTGTCAACGCTCAAGTGTCACTACACAGGTTTAATTATTATAACGTTGGGAACTGCTGAACCTACCAAGATCATACAGCACTGTGTGGCAGGGGTGAGAGCTTGCAGAGGGCAAGAAGTGGAGGTGTTAAGGCAAGAACACCCTTTCAAGAGGGGCACCTTGATACTTGAGCTCCTTCCTTGTACTACCCATGACTTCTTTCTTAGTGTTTTACGGCTCCTGTGGGTTTGTCATTTTTCTGTCAATATGACAATTCATCTACTCTTCTGTGAATAGACTAAATACAACATACAGGGCTCCAGCTCATTGAATCAAGCCTGAGTGCTTTACAGTCCCCCTGGCACTGTATGACCCTTAGCACTCTCTCATGACTGTAATAATAATTAAAAGAGTTATCTGGAAGGCTTTACTTTCCTGACACCTGGTTCTCCCCCTCATCTACTCACCAGATCATGCCTTGGTTGTTGACGAGATGAAGAATGTTCTCAGCGATCTTGAAGTCCGGGTAGCCGGGGAACTGCTTCTCCAGGTCCCAGCAGCAACAACCATTAAAGAGGCGTACGATTACAGCTCTGATGTAGTCCCCAATCACTATTGTCACCACCGTGACTACCTGCACAACACATGGGCAACAAGAAGACAGAGGGAAATGGAGATTAGAGACAAAGACCCTAACTGGTAGCTAGCATGAGCAAATCCATTAGGTATATGTGCATCAAGAAAAATTTATTCGGAATCTTATTTAAATCATTAGTGTAGTGCTTTAGTACTGCAGTTCCCTATCTTCAAAAGAATGACATCACCTCATCTTTAACCATTACACATGAACTTTGACTACAAAAAATTTTCCATAGTCTAGTGAGTATAAAATAAGTGTCTGATGTATTGACTGGTAATTTACCATGTCCATAACAGTGAGCTTGATGATCTCCTGGCCAAACATGGTCTCCCAGCAGAGTTTCCTCAACCGCTGTCGCATTTTGCTGGGGAGAAGATGCGCCCATTTCTCTGGGTTGTCCTTCATTGGCTGCACCAGAAAGGGTGGCGGCTCTGAGACCGTCGATGTTGATGGAGGAAACTCGGTAGACACAATTGTTGAAGATACAAACTCTGAGGTCGGGACGGGTGTTGACGGGGCTTCATTGGGCACTGATGATTGCGTTGGAGGCAATTGCTTAATAGTTGATGACTGTGCACTTAACATAGATGGAGTTGTGAATGTTGGAGTAAATGTTGAAGTTGGTTCCTTGATGGGCTCTGGTGGAGTAAGTACATCACAAGTAAACTTGAAACATGGAGCTTAAAGATTTAATCATTCGTGGGCATTGTCATGAAAACGATAAAGGCATTCAAATTTAAAGTACGATAAAGTACACAATTACATGAAACTATACGCTGTATAGCCCTTGTGGCTTAGCGCTTCTTTTTGATTATAATAATAATAATACATGAAACTATGATAATTCATAAATCTGATAGAGTGAGATAATAAAGACATTCTGATAGAAAATAAATATTCTTGGAATAATGAATTACTGTTAATAAATTCTTAGCTAAGTGGAATGTAGCCTCTTGTGCAGTCATTAAACTTTAAACTTAAACCTAATGATTTAAATACCAAAAAAAAGAAAAGAAAACTTAGCTTGCTAATACATATTGAAATGTTTGCACAAGTGTAGGAAAAATGACAAGTAGCATATTATTTTAGAAGATGAGGAGTTTCAATCAAATGTCTCAGTAAATTTAGCAATAATAATAACAGCCAGTTTCAGATTTTGTGACGAGTTATTATACACATCATGTCACTTCAAGAAGGGAAGGGGGGGCTGACAATTTTGGTGAAAGGCTTTTGATCCAAGGAATTGGAGCAACCCACCTCTTTCTTGTATCAAATATGATTATCACCCATTCCCGAGGCATTATATATAACTACTTGGGATTAGCACTTCTCCGTGAATATAATAAACTTTTGGCAATAATCCTTAAAGATGGTATCTATATATTCACTTACCATTACAGAGGATAACATAACAACCAAGGTCGTCATCAATCTCATAATCAGGTCCATGAGTGGAGCTCAGGGCTCCATCCATCACAGATTTAGTAGTATCTGTCCAGGTCAGGTACTCTGTTGAGGGTTGTACTGGGGATTGAGCTCCATAGCTTGGAGAGTTTAATTCACTTCTGTTTTTAATATTTTTCAGGTCTTCTATTATTCTGACCCAATAGCTGGCTCGATCGTGTGTAGCAAGATTGAAAGGTTCCTCAGTTGTTGTAAAACTGTGTTGATCTGCCTTTCCACTGTCATTCACAGTCCCTGCACGTGCTTCATTGCTTGAATTTTCTTTAAACAAATTGGTTTCTAAATTGTGACTATCGTTAGGTTCGAGTCTGAATTTTGGAGAATCAAGTAGACCATATATATCTAGGCCATCGTAATCGTTATAGTTGATAACTCGCTTTAAACGGTTTTTCATTCTAAATCCTTCATCCATGATTCCAATCCCTTGTTCTTCACCAGCAACCTGCTGGTTGATACTTTGAGTCTCATGATACGTATCTTGATTGGCATCTTGAATTTCTTGATTCCCACTCTGAATCTGTCTATCCAAACTGTGGATGTGTGTATCCATGGATTGAGCCTTTCGACCCACATTCCGAACATTAAAATCTCCTTTACTATTTGCAATGAAGTCTTGAACATTTGGAGATTTAGCTTGAGCCTTCTTATTAATGCTTTGAACCTTGTGATTCACTGCTCGACTCACTTTTCGACTTTCCTCTAAACCTACCCAACTCATCTTTTTAGCACCCTCTTGCTTCAGTACGTAAGGTAGGATCATTGCTCGCTTCATTCTCCTTTCAGCTGAATCATCTTTATTAAATAACTTCTCTCTTTTGTTGTCAGTGTGACTGCCTTCCTCATTCTCTTCTAGATAATCCAGAAATAGTGTGTTAAATACTGCAGGAAGTCCAGGAATGGTTTTGACGAGATTCATCAGAGCTTCATTCTTCTCGTTTTTAATTATTTCAGATGTCAGTGGTGATGATACAACACGGTCCAAAGAATCGGTTGGAGTAATTTCTACTTTGGCAGATTCTGTCATTTCTGTCTTCTCTAGAACCTGACGTGTGGTCATTTCTGTGGTATCTGATGGGGTAACTAATTCTTTGATAGTGCCTGGTAGCTCTGTTTCCTTGATTTCTTGAGTAAATGACTCCCAGTTTTCGTAACGTTCAGTTGAAGTATATGGCATTGTGTCATTTCCGGTCAAAGCTTCTGATGTAATAGTGAAATGAGCTTCTTCTAGAGTCGAGAAATTCGCAAAGTAGTGCTCATCAGCACCTAGGTCCCCCACTTTGCTTAAAGTGTCGCTAGTGTTGACTCTACCTGGCGATTCTGTAGATATGGTGGCATTATCATGTGATGGTGCCAGTGACGGGGGCTTTAAAGTTGTACTCACATTGTTGTCGTCATATTCATAAATTACTCCTTCGTTACCGGGAGATGGATCATCAGTTATTTTGTCATACAATCCTTTGAACCAGTCGTAATAGTCGAATGTCGTCGGTGAGGTCAGTTTATTGGCTGGAGTGTCATTTATTATGGCAGCAGTTGTAGACACTGCTCTGGCAGTTGTTGTGGAGGGAGATGTGATAACAGGTGTTGGCGTATTTTTTGGCCAGTGTGGCAGTTGTGAGACAGCGAACTGGAACTAAATGGCAGCCAGGTGGAAGAGTTTCCTTCAGTTTTGGGTCAAATTTAGACAAGGGCAGTCTGAAACGCAAAAAAAGTATAATGTCTATAAAGGAATTCAACAACTTTCAGAATTAAAATATAAACTCTGAATACTTTTCAAGGAAAAGGCAGAAGGAAATAGTCTAAAATATCCAGGGAAACTATATTTTTGACTGACATCAATTTGACTGACATCAATTAAGTTTAGCATTTTCCCATACTTTTAATACAAATGTTAAACTGGTATGAAATCTTTCATCCATGTTCTGTAATATTTATACACTGTGTCAACAATCTTTTTCACAGATTAATACATATAGGTCTATAATATTTATGATTAAACCCCTATGCAGAATCAGTCACTGTCACTGTCTAGCTCGGTCCATTAATTTACTGTTTTTACATTAAAAAAGACTTTTGTAATGTTTTTGAATCGTTTGGGAAGGGAACTGTAGTTTCTATTTGTGTCCCTGTATTTTCTCCTGACATTCATGGGAAAGCACTACATCTCTTACAAAGCCATTTCTTGCCGAGTTCTTCTGCACTATGTACACTCTAGTACATATTTGTATGGAGGGACTATTCCAACTTGTTCTTATTTGTTCAGGGAGGCAAGATATTTAGTTTCCACATTCTTTCAATATAGCTCTGTCTTTTCAGCTCAGACACATGCATCCCTTAGGAGTTTCTTAGTCATTTTGTTTTTTGACTACATAAGCAGAGCCGGATTACCACATAGGCAAACGAGGCATTTGCCTAGGGCCCCGCGGTCCAAGGGGTTCAGGGGCTCATCCAAGACTGCGCACATGGTGCAAGTGCAAAGGGGTCCCTACCTAAAAGGTTCAAGTGTTTGGAGAGTAAAATTGATTTTTAAAAATTAATCAAAACAAAAATAATGAAATAAAATAAAAATAAATAAACCTAACCATAGATGGCAACACTCAACACGCCTTTGTTTACATCAGAACAGCTGTGTTTTCCCGCTAATGGGTGAGTATGGGAGATTCCTCTCCAATTTTTTCAGTATTAATTACACGTTATCTAGACTTGTACTGTGACAAAAATTTAAACTCAAGTATAATAAGATCACAATTTTGCCATTCTAATTCCAAAGCACATTATTGATTACCACTTAATATGTTTCACCAGCACAACTTATATTATCCCCTATTATATTATTAATTTTATACTATAATATCTAACTTTTAAAGAATACCTTATATATACTACCTACATATCATATTCCCAAGCTCCATTATTAGATCACACTATATTTTGTATTAGTCCCTTTTATATGGGGGGTCCTCCTTTATTGTATCTTAAAAAAAAAAAAAAAAAAAAAAAACAACAACCATAGCTCATTATTTTAGCATTGTTAAATAAATCAGGTGCTAATTTTTTAGCTTAAGACGACTATATTACTACTTTGTTTTATACTTAATTCAACTATAGATTCACTACAAATCTTTATGAATAGCAAGCATATGATCCTGATACCAAACTCTTATTTAATGACTTAAATAAATCAAAGCAGTTACTGTAAATACTACACTGCAGTACAATCCAAAGGCACTCACAGTGCCAACAACAACATAACTATTTTAACTACAATATCAGATCTTTAAGCAAGCAATACGATGACCTCATAGCATTACTAAATTCCTTACATGCCAATATGTCCATCATACACTAACTGAAACCTGGCTAAAGCCTGATAGTAACAGATGAGTCTATGCCATTCCTGGTTACACATCATACACCACTGTAGGCCAGACCAACAAGGTGGTGCACAGCCATATACTACCAGACCCAACTAGAATGTAATCACTAAAACGCTTGCACAAGGGATGAACTGGGGTAATATATAATAGCCAAATTTCAAATCCAAATACCTACAAAAACATCTCTACATTGATAAACATCTACAGATTTCCACAGTCAAACATTAGCCTTTTTAGTCCAAAACCTAGGAAGTTTTTTATTGATTAACTGATGCACACCATGAACAAAGATCTCTTACTACTCTCAGGTGACTTCAATAAAAAACTCCTGCAAGACCAGGACCCACAAGTTAATGAATCACAAACACAAGGATAACTGTAATGTTGCTACCAACAGTAACAAAAGCCTATGGACCGTCCCTACAAGAGTTAAGAGACAATGTTTTCCTACTTTACCACATCTGGACCAACACCATATCCCCTTTAAAAATCAGGCTAATTACAGATAAGACCACAACCACTACCAGACTTTCCTCATAACAACTCTTGGTAAATTTACCCGCCCAAGACATTGATAGACTACTAAAGTCACCTTCAGACTTCACAATGAGCGCAGCCATTAATAACTTAACAACAGAAGTAGCAAACATTGACTGCACACTGAGCTAGAAATCTTTACAAATGACGAATGTATTAATAATTTTCTAAAAAAGACCCAATACCACTATAACAAGCCCTGCCCAAAAAAACTAAACAGATGACACAGCTAAGAAGACTGAACAGCCCTGTCAACACCCAGCATTCTCCAAATCATAAATACAAACACAATATGAAAAAACAGAACAGAATGTGGTCACATAACCAAGACCAAACAAAACGTTACTCGTCCAATCCTAACCAGCCTGATAAGAAGGGCTAAAAAATTGTATTATGAGAACAATTATCCAACTTACAGGTGATATAAAAAAGACCTGGAAAAAACCCCATCAGAAATTTAGGAACAAAAAAGTATCCGAAATAGCGAAATAAAAAATTTCAAAATCAGATGAACCCCCAAATCCCACCAACAGAAACAGCAAAAGACTCAATGTTTTTCTCCACTATAGGGCAAAACCTTGCCAATAAAATCCCCAACTCAATACCCCACCAAATGATACCCCCACGGCAACACCCGAACAAAATGTTTCCAGCTCCGACTAAAACCCCTACGAAGTCCCCTTATTATCAACACACTAAAAAAAAAGGGAGGATTTAAAAACCTTAACCCCCTTTATATACAAAAAAGGTGTCCAAGTGCTACACCAATCATTGCCAACACTCTTTAACACATCCATTGAAAATCCTCCACCTTTCCCTACAGTACTCAAAATAGCAAGGGTCACCCCGATCCACAAAGGAGAGACCAAACAGAGTTGAATAACTATAGGCCAATATCAACTTAACCACCCCTCATCTCAAAAATCTTTCGAAAATTAATTCATAAACAATCTACTCCTACCTTATCTCCCAAAACATACTCAACCCCTGCCCAATTTGGATTCAATCGCCAAATAAAAATACTAAATGATGGCTATTATACACATGCAGAACAATATACACTGCAATTAGAGAAAAAAGAAGTCCCACTGGGGATCTTCAATTGACTTACGTAAAGCTTTTGATACCAGTTAACCAATAGACCTTGCTCCACTAAAATTGTCACACTATGGCAATAAGAGGGCACTGTCCCTCAACTACCTCAAGTCATACCTCCAGGCAACCAGAAGCCAATATGTGAATGCAAATGGGCAAACTCTTTCTGCACAACCAATTACAGTTGGAGTCCCACAGGGAAGTGATCCTTGGCCCTCTTCGTCTTCTCCTACACATAAATGACCTACCAATGCTTCGCATTACTCAAACCCACACCTATTGCAGATGACACTACATACGTCTCTCCCACCCGAGCCCTAGTCACGCTAGCCAATACGGTGTAAATACCGATTAACAGGAAAATATCTACCTGGATGAGGACTAACAAACTTACACAAACATTGACAAAACCTATCTTCATTGAGTTGGTAACAGAGCTACAGATTACCCTCTTAACTAATGATAAACGGATCACCTATCACAATGTGTGAAGCTAACAGAGGGAAAATTCTTAGGAATCCCACCTTATAATAACTCAAATTTCATACACATAATACAACAAATTTTCTAAGAAAATTTCCAAACTGTAGCATACTATCGAAGATAACGGTACTATGTTCCACAGTCAGAGCCCTCCTGCCCTATATCACTCTCTTATTACTCCCTATCTCATCTATGGAATTTGGTGCATGGGCTCAACAACAAGTAACATACTCAGACCACTAATTACCCAACAAAAAGGCTGCAGTTTAGAAATGATAACAAATTCTCACTATAGGCAGCACACTCCACCAATATTTCAATACACAAGACCTACTGACCATACAAAACACCATACTATTACTGCACTATTTACAATACATAGAACTAAACTTAAAACTCTGATATTAACCCTCCCCCTCAAACATCTCTTCCTTGCCAACCTCACAGAACACAAACCATAACACAAGGCACAGATCAATCTTTGATGTTCCTGCGTAGTCCATCTCACACTATGCAAAAACTCAATGCACATAAAAGGCTAAAATCTGGAATTCATTCGACCTGTCTATCAAATATAAAAGAAACACTACCTGGTTTATCAAATCAAGTCTCTTCTCAAAGATCACTTACTCACCCAAAACCAAATAAATACTGAATAAACGACCTATAAATTGTATATCTTAAATGTTCTCACAATTATATCACATAAATGTTAAACCTAAAACCCAATCTAACTATTATTTTTTAAATACACTAATAACAGAATACTCCCTTCTACTGATGTACAACAATGCACTACAACCATATACCTGTCTTTGTATACTCACTTTGCTTTATAAGTAATCTTTTACATTAAAGTTTTATCACTGATTTCATCATTGCTTAGTTAATCTAAGTTAATTTTATCCAGCCCCGTAACTGCTAACAATAGTATAAGTGGCTTTGGCATGCTGCCTTATCTGTATTTTTTTGTACCTCTGTATGTGTGCTCAAATTTTAAATAAATAAATAAATAAATAAATAAATAAATAAATACATAGCAGCATATGTATAGAGAACCTTTTGGTTCTCTTCTTCAACTGGTTCATGCTGTGACTGGCTTTGACATGTGCAGGCAGTCTGTTTCATTCCTTTAGTTCTGTTACAATAAGCTGGCCACTGACTGTGGGTACTACAAAGTTCTGCTCTCTCCCCCTAGTACTATGATTGCTTTGATTTGCAGCCTTGACAAAACTGGCTGCAAGATATTCTGGACACTGTCTGTGAGCAATTTCATAAACTTGATTTCACTTCAGTTGTTTTAAACTGTTTTCATCATTAAGCATATACCAATTGGTGTTAATTCCATCAGGCCTAACAACGTGTTTTAAACATCAGTCACTGTATATTAAATAAAATTCCAATATGAACAGTGGTATGATGCTTTACCCCGAAAAAAAAGTTGATAAGCAAAAAACTGAAAGAAAAAATAAAAATACTCCAAGTTACAAAACATGAAAAAAGGCTAAAGACACTGTTTTTTTTTTTTTTAAACATGTTGGACGTTTCCCCACCAGAAGCGGGCGTTATCCTTGTTTAATGTGATTTGATAAATAAGGAGATATGATCACTGCACTTTAGATTATGAAAGATGATAAAAGAATATAGAAGAAGACTTCTGAACACTAAAAGAATTCTCATCAGGAGAGGTTCAATAACTCTAAATAACAATAAAGCAGATCTGCCAAAAGGATAATAAAAAAAACTGTAGCGAGAAACAGTGGTACAACAATGCAATGATTACAAAAGTGTCAGTACAATGTTTTTTCTTTGATCTGATATGGACTAAACATAAAGATGAAACAGGATAAAAAATGAAGTCAATTCTTTGCATACTGTTGCATACACAAGCAAATAAAAATTCTGTGGGTGAAATAACTTGTACATAAAGGATGAAGGGAAAACCGGTTATTTTTTTTTTATTTTTTATATAGCACGACTTGAGTCCTGGAAATGGAAGTACAATGCCTGCACTCTAAAGGAAGGGTTTTCGGATATTAGCAGTTTGGAGGGATATGTTTTGCCATCTTTATACGGATATGCTTCTAAACTGTTGTGTTCTGAGCA